CCCAAGTCAGCTTCTGCTGAAACTGACCAGCGCTGACTACAGGAAGCCCCAGGCAGAGTTGCTCTGCCCCGGGCTTCCTGGAATCAGCTGCTGATCAGTTTCAGCAGCAGCTGACTTGGGGACGCCTGGGGTTCTTAAGTTGATTCTGTATGTAAGTCAGAACTGGCGGTCAGTTTCAGCAGTGTCTGAATCTGGACGCCAGTTCCGACTTACATACAGATTCAACTTAAGAACAAACCTACAGTCCCTATCTTGTACGTAACCCGGGGACTGCCTGTAATTCAAAAATTGGCACAAGAAAATACAGCTATGACCTACTCCTTTTATTACTAATAATATGAAAACTGTGGGAGATAATGTGCCATTATTTATGACTAAGATCACAAGGGGAGTAACATAAATTTGAACAGAAATGAAAAATAAGGTAACTAAACTAAACTAAACAAACTAAATTCTCAGCAGTAATGTCACGTGCCTTTGTGAATGACAAACATGAACAAAGGTCCTATATTTTAAAAAATAGGTGAAATGACTTAGCTGGATTACTTGATTAAATCTAATGATAGTTTTCCCTTTTAAAAAGTTCTAATATCCTGCATGTTATGCTTTGTTCAAACATTTTACACTAAAGTGTAACAAATGCTTTTTGTCATAACAGACCGTTCATTTTACTAGCAAATGAAGGTTCTAACGATTAGTTACAGATTTTAAAATTAACTGAAAAAGCTTTGTGAAAAACTAATACACTATACACAGCCAAACACTGCGGTATCTTGTCTCTCTCAAAATTATGGGATGCACATACAAATGTGGTTTGCTCTCTCCTCCCATCTATAGGTACTGAACTTTATTTGTTTTGCTGGGATGGTTCAAATGAAGAGGTAAGTTTTACATTTTACTCTGAAGCTTCTGACGTTTGTGGGCATCTGAGTCTTTTCTGAGAATGAGTTCCAGGTACATGGGCCAGTTATTGGGAAAGCTCTCTCCCCAGCTCATGAGTGTAATGTTAAAGACTGACAGTTCCAAGGTTCTGGAATGCTTCTGTCTTGGGAGGTCATTATCACATACTATGAGTGGTCCTTCAGGAAAGCGAGAGCAGTCCCACATAGAGCTTTGAAAATTGGGAACCAATGCTTAAATGTGAACTAGCATTCAGCCTCAGGATCAGCCTTCCCCTGTGTGACTAACGAGGGGGTAAGCCTGACCTAGGCGAGCAGGCTTTAAAAGCCACAGGCAGAATGACTACGGGAGTGAAGCGGACAGGGGGCTGCAAACAGGAGAGTTTAAGAGGGAGTTTAAAGAGGGAGGCCTACTATTGTCAGGAAGACCAGCAACACCTAGGCCAGCACTGCTTCTGTCTCCTCTACCTGTGCCTGTAGCCAGACAGAGCACCTGACCATGGATGCCTCTATCCACATTCTGGTGTGGTTTTTCAGGGACTGTGGCTTGCAATTCCCATTTACTGAAATCTAGGCTGGGAGGACCATCCAATGTGCAAGGTGCCTGCTGGTGAAATCTCTCAGGAAGCAGTTGGGAGAGCTACAGGAGGAGGTGGCTAGGCTGAGGAGCATCTGAATCCACAATAATACTGCTGCTTTTTTTTTTTTCCAATTCTTCTGTAGGAAGAGGTTTTTCCAACATTGGCTGTCTAGACTGGACCAAATGTCAGAAAACCCCCTTCTTTTGGAACCCCCTTATTCCTTGTGGAAAAAGGAATATAGCGGTGACTGAAAGAGCATGTTTGCTCTTCCACTCAAAAAAGTGGAAGAACAAATGCATCTCTGGATGCAGAAGAGTTTTTCTGAGATATCTCCGGAATCCTGAAAAACTCCTGTAGTCTAGCTGTACCCTCGCTGGGTTGAGACAGGATGTGTAGTCTCTGGGGTGGAAATGAGGGATTTGGGGTGAGAGGTGCAAGCTCTGGGAGGAAATCCAGATGCGGAAGGAAGTGGAGAAGGGGATGCTGGCTCGAGGAGGGGGCTCCAGGCCGGGAAGTGTTGGGGTCAGATTAGATGTAAGGGTTCAGGAATTTGGGTTGGGGTATATGATAGGCTCAAATCTAGGGTCTGGGGAAAGGGGAGGAGTGCAGGAGTGTTATGATGCTGTGGCCAGATGGGGGCTTGGCCCCAATTGGGGGTTTGTTGGCCAGGCTTCATTTTTAAATAAAATACTATGTCAAACACAAAAAGTTTCTGCGTCGTCTTTATTTATGAGACGGGCAGGAAACCTGTTTTGAGTGGGGGTCACTGACCCACAGAAAAGTCAGTTGGAACACACAAGTGAGATGCAAAAAAACCCCCAAACTCCTCTAAACCCAGCCCTCTCCCCCAAGCCTCACTAATGTGGCCCCAACTGTGCTGGCGGGAGCAGGGGACGTGGTACTGGGGAAGGGTGCTAGTGGGTGTTGGGGCAGGGGACAGGGTGCCAGTGGGGGCATGGTTCTGCGGCTGGGGGCAGGGAGAGGGAACAGAGTGTCGAGACAGGCTTCATTTTTAAATAAAATACTATGTCAAACACAAAAAGTTTCTGCGTCGTCTTTATTTATGAGACGGGCAGGAAACCTGTTTTGAGTGGGGGTCACTGACCCACAGAAAAGTCAGTTGGAACACACAAGTGAGATGCAAAAAAACCCCCAAACTCCTCT